GTCAGGAGGTGGCACAGGTTCCCCAGTCCAGTAAATGCATTAAATCGGAGGAGGATTAAGGGATTAAAGGTTGAATAAATTAAGTAAACTCTTCAGTTTATCTTAACTCTTAACTCTCTTCTCATAGTTAGCAGGGAAGAGAACAAGAAACCATAGAACACAAATGAAACCCCAAACCAGTAACAAGGAATGTAACATACTGTAGAGTCTAAATATCATTCACTGGGGAAGATATTAGTTACCATGATAGAAAAAACAAAAACAAAAAAACAGGCATGCATGGATCATTATCTGCCACAGGCCTGACAGTAGAGATGAAAGACTGGGAAAATAGGACATTCATCTAACAAAGATAGAAGAAAAGGAGAAAGTACAGTAGGAAGAAATGAGAGCAAATCAGTGAAACATGGCAGCAGCTACACTGCCATGCCCAGAACTGTTTCTACAAATCTCCCTGAATTGGTACCAGCTCCAAAAGTCCTTCCCCACTTTTAAGTTCTGAGGAGCATAAATGGTACCAATGATTCTGGCCAATTGGGGAAATACAAAATTCCTTTCTGCCCCACCAAGAAATGAACCATTTATAGGTAAAATTAATCATCACCAAGCTCAAGAACTTCCTTGAAGCCCTGGCCGATTTGGCTCAGTGGATAGAGTGTCGGCCTGTGAACCGAAAGTCCCAGGTTCGATTCCAGTCAAGGACATATGCCCAGGTTGTGGGCTCGATCCCCAGTGGGGAACTTGCAGGAGGCAGCCAATCCATGATTCTTTCTCATCATGTATCTTTCTATCTCTCTCTCTCTTCCTTCCTCTCTGAAATCAATTAAAAATATATAAAAATATTTAAAAAAAAGAACTTACTTGAAAAGGTTTAAGCGATGAAGGCACTTTTTGTTGATTTACACTGGTATCTTAAGGATGGCAGTTAACGATTCTACAACCCAGCAGATGGGGCTCTCTCCCTGAATATGCTTATTCAACCAAAAATTAATAAAATACAATTTGGAAAACTGTAGTTTTGATGTTGGTTTTCACAAGACCAGATAAACATCTGTGAACCATCTTCATTATTTTTTTAATTATCTGAAAAATACTGGCCTATTAGACTCAAAAAGAACCATAGCCATTATTTTAACTCAATTCAACAATGGGGAGAGGGAACATTTGTTAAGTGCTTGCTTTTACTGCAATTATATACCTTCATAATTCCCATCTAACTGATCAGAAGTTACTCCATGGACTATAATGATTTAACAATTTCATTTATTTCAAGTTCACCTCTCCAATTTTAGTATTGTTAACATGTTTTTTTTAGAAAATTTGTTATTTTAATCTTTAAACACCTTTTGGTACTTGAGGCAAAGACCATATTTGACCAATACCTTTACAATGAACAGTATTAGACATACACCTATTATAAAGTACAAGATTTGAATTACATGATTAATGCAATCATTAAAGATAAATTATGACAACAAAAATCTGAATTGCCAACAATCTAGTAGTATTGTATCAATAACTTTCAAATGTACATATTCATTCTAAGTAATCAATTTAAATAATCCTATGTAATAAAGAGCTAATATGCTAATTAGACTGGCCGGCGGAACAACTTTCTGGAACGACCAGGCGGGGGCGGGGCCACAAGGCAGCTGGGGCTGCAAGGGCCGAGCCCCTTGCACGAATTTCATGCATTGGGCCTCTAGTACTGTAATAAAACTGGTCAAGTGTAAACCTGATTACTAGAAAGCACAGTCTTACCTGTATGATGTAGGTTAAATGCTGGCACTGCAGATGTTTCCCCGTGATTCATTTCTCTACCACTGTCTTCAGCAGGCAGAAGATTTAAACTGTATGTTGTGGGATCAGCTTGTAATTGTAGAAGAGTATTATTTGCAGCAACCTAAAAGAACGAAATATGTATTTTATGCAGAAATTCAATCTAATTTTCCATATTTTTACATAACAGATAGCTAATTTAAAAAGGGCTACAAGTTAAAAAAAAAAGAGCTACAAATTTAGTTTCTCTACATATACATAGGGGATACTTAAAAAAAAATAACTTAAAATTCAATTTTTATTGTTTTTTAAATTAGTATTGAAAGCTGAGCCCAGCCAGTGTGGCTCAGTGGTTGAGTGTCGACTATGAATCAGGAGGTCACAGTTCGATTCCTGGTTGGGGCACATGCCTAGGTTTCAGCTCGATCCCCAGTGTGGGGTGATTCTCTCATCATTGATGTTTCTCTCTCTCTCTCCCTCTCCCTTCCTCTCTGAAATCAATAAAAACTATTTTTTAAAATAACTGACACAGAGAATGAAAATTGTGCTTATAATTATAGTGTGCTTTTTAAATATTTTTATTGATTTTTTTAGAGAAAGAGGAAGGGAGAGGGAGAGAGAAGCATCAATGTGAGAGTGAAACATTGATCAGCTGTCTCCTGCACGCCCCCCATTAGGGATGGAGCCTGCAACCCGGGCATATGCCCTAACTGGGAATCAAATTAGCAACCTTTCAGTGCATGAGACAATGCCCAACCAACTAAGCCACACTGGCCAGGGCTCCCTCTTCTTCTTTTAAGGACAATTATATGGGGCGACCAAGACAATCCAGGATAACTACCCCACCTCAAGATCCTTAACATTAATTACTTAGTCAAAAAGTCCCTTCTACCATGTGAGGTAACATATTCACAAGTTCCAAGGATTAGGACATGGATGTTTTTAATATGTTTTTATTGATTTCAGAAAGAGGAAGGAAGAGATAGAAATATCAGCGATGAGAGAGAATCATCAATGGGCTGCCTCCTGCATGCCCCCTAAAGTACATTGAGTCTGAAACCCGGGCATGTGCCATGTTGGGAATCAAACCACGACCTCCTGGGTCATGGGTCGATGCTCAACCACTGACCCACACCAGCTGGGCAAGATATGGACATTTTTAGAGAGCCATTTTTCTGTCTACCACAGTATGTTTGAATTTTAAAAAAAATAACAACTCACAATAAAAAAGAAAAAAATGTATTAGTAGACTTTAACCTCCATAGCATAAATAGATCAGAGAATTATAGAGTAGCAGAAGTGTGGATTGCCTGTTTTATAAATTTTCTATTTAACTTCTATATATCTAAGATCAAAACAATTCCTTCTCTTAGTAGTAAAGAGCATATATTAAGACTGCTTCAAGCATTTACCTTTTTTTTTTTTTTTTTTGGTTAATCTTCACCCAAGGATGTTTTCCATTGGTTTTAGAAAGAGTGGAAGGGAGAGCGAGAGGGAGAGACAGAGAAACATCGATTGGTTGCCTCCTGCACATGTCCCAATTGGGCCGGGGATCAAGCCTGCAACCGAGGTACTTGTCCTTAAGCGGAATCAAACCGACATCCCTTCAGTCCAAGGGCCAATGCTCTGTCCACTGAGCCAATGTGGCCAGGGCACATTTACTCTTTATAAGTAAAATGAAATGTCCAGAATAATGATATAAATCATTACTTACATGCTTATCTTTAAACTGCCTTATCTAAAGTTTTCATTTATTTATATGGTATCTTTAAAAAGAACAAAAATCACCCGGGCCAGTGTGGCTCCCTAGTTAGAGTGTCAGCCACGCACTGAAGGGTCACAGGTTTGATTCCCAGTCAAGGGCAAATACCTGGGTTGAGGGTTCGAGTCCCAAACCTAGTCAGGGTGTGTGCGGGAGGCAACCAATCAATGTGTCTCTCTCATCAATGTTTCTCTTTCTCTCTCTCCCCTCACCCCCTCGCGCCTTCCACTCTCTCTAAAAATCAATGGAAAAAATATTCTTGGGTGAAGATTAGAAAAAAGAAAAAAAAGAGCCCAACCCGTGTGGCTCAGTGGTTGAGCATCAACGTATGAACCACAAAGTCTCAGCTCAATTCCCAGTCAGGGCACATGCCTGGGTTGTGGGCTTGATCCCCAGTAGGGGGCATGCAGGAGGCAGCCCATCAATGATTCTCTCTCATCATTGATATTTATATCTCTCTCTCCCTCTCCCTTCCTCTCTCTCAAATCAATTTAAAAGGAAAAAAAGAACACTAATCAGAATAATTTTTTACAAGAATCTCCACCCTTTTCCTCACAGAGGTACGGTATTTTTTACTTTTACCAGAATTTTATTTTATGGACCCAACTGTATGTCATTCCTTTTTTAAAAAAATCGTAATAATTTCTAAGGCGTTGGTAGGACTTTGTCAACTGAAAATTCCTATAGACAGTAAGTATTGTTAAAATGCCAACTCTTCAGATGGCATTTTTTTACAAATACATGCTTCTCTATATTGCTTCCTTTAATTTTTTATTTTTTATTTTTTTTACCTCAGACAATTGCATATCTGGATCCAGCTTTGTAATCTCTTCATTCAGACTTGGATTACTTCTTGCTGGCGGTATAAATTTTGGTTTTTTGAAGGGTTTCCCCTGCAACTGACTTGGTGCTGCAGATCGTCTCATGTTCAGCAGTACTAACCTGAAAAATACCAAAAACAAAAATCTCCCATAAGTCTGATTAGATTCAGGTCTTTCTGCCTCGGTTTCCGTGGTGAGTGGGGACATTCACATTGTGCTGGACAGCCCTTAGACAGTTTGAGGGGTTAGCAGTGGAGGGCATTCTCTACTGTTTCTTATTCAGGGCAAAATAGATCTCTATTAACACAATCTTAGAGCAAATTAATGGTTTTAATTAAAATTGGTTTAGCCAAAACCGGTTTGGCTCAGTGGATAGAGCGGCGGCCTGCGGACTGAAGGGTCCCAGGTTCGATTCCGGTCAAGGGCATGTACCTGGGTTGCGGGCACATCTCCAGTGGGAGATGTGCAGGAGGCAGCTGGTCGATGTTTCTCTCTCATCGATGTTTCTAACTCTCTATCTCTCTCCCTTCCTCTCTGTAAAAAATCAATAAAATATATTTAAAAAAAAATTGGTTTGTAACTATGTGTACTTGAGAAGCAGTATTTATCAATAGCAGTGGTCAATACAGATTCTGTCTAAATAACTCATGCCAAAATAACCTCACTAACCTCATCCCCTTTAAAATGGGCCAACAGAATATTACATGGCCCTGGATACATAATTGACAACTGCAACATGATGAATTACAACATACAAATGTTAGGCCCTTAATGGTCAAATGAAATAGAACAATAGAAAGTTTATATGGAAAAACTCAAGGGGCTTTTAGATGACAATAGCTCAACTGAAATAACAAGATAATGATGAGTCTACTTAATTAAAGTAATAAATTCTCGACGTCATTAATAAAAATGATGTCCACATCATGAAATTAGGTTTTATTTTCTGCATTTAGTCAGATCCCCCTGTAAAACTCTGAAAATTCTGACCAAAACCGTTTTTAAAAAGAACGTTAGAAAAACACAGTAGCTAGAAACTTTGGGCAAACTATTTAAACTCTCTGGGTATCAATTCCCTCATTTGTAAAATAAAGAGAATGGACTAGATGGTAAAATTTCTTTCATCACCACCTTACACCCTGAAACCCTTCCAGACCTAATACACGATTTCTAATTTTTCAACCCTCCTGTTTATCCTATTATTTTTTAAATGAATTTGAGAATGTAGGCAAGTGAGAAGCAGCACCGAGTGGTGGTGGTTTAGAAAACAGATTCTAAATTGACCGGAATTCTAGCTCTGCCATTTACATCCACCAGTCATCTAACTTATTAATGCATTTAAAAGTAAACTGCAGGCATCAGTATATTTCCCCCTTAAATATTTGAGCTTCCTTGCTACCTCTTAAATTAGAACTGAGCCCTTTGCCCAGGCCCTGGAAATAATGCCCATTTGGCTGTAGCTGGTTTGGCTCAGTGGACAGAGTGTGGGCCTGAGGACTGAAAGGTCCCAGGTTCCATTCCAGTCAAGGGCATGTACCTTGGTTGCCGGCTTGTTCCCCAATAGGGGGCGTGCAGGAGGCAGCCCACCATTAATGTTTCTCTCTCTCTCTCTCCCTCTCCCTTCCTCTTTGAAATCAATAATATATTTTTTAAAATAAAAAAATAAAAATAAAAATAAAGAAATAATGCCCACTTGGCAGCCCTACTGGGATGCTACAAGTTCTGAGATGATGCGAACACCCTACCTGCTTCTGTCCTCCCTAGTCAATGGCTGAGAGCTGCTACACATCAGAAAGCCTGATCTTTGGGGCAATGCAGAGAATAATGACGCACACAGCTTTGAAGGTAACAGTGTCATGTCGTCACTAAGAATACAGCTTTAAGGGTAAAAACCTGAATATAAGGTGAACACCTGGCCTGACACTTCCTAGTGTGTGATGCTGCACAGTGTGCCTAACCTCTGTGTCTCCATTTCTTCGTCTATAATAGGGGGTACAGCAATCATAATGACTCACGGTGCTATTGGGTTAAATGAAACACTCCACGCACTTAGGACAAAGCTTACACACAGTAAGCACCCTAGGTTATCTGTGATAATACCATGTCTAATTACTACTGGATGCTTAAGACACAAGGCCCTGTGATGAGGGTCCCACGAGGCGGGGCAGTGAAGGATGTCGACCAGGGGGATCGTGGCCGAAATCTGTGGGTTCGTGTGGCTTTGAAGGTGGGAGGGGTGCCCCCATCCGACCCCCGGGAGCAAGGGTGTAAACAAACCACCAAGAACCAGCCACGGCCGCCTCTGCTGCGGCGGCTGCGGGATTCACCTGCTCTTCTGACGTCATGGCCCCACGGAACCGGCCTACAAAACCCTCCGCTAAGGATCAACACCGTGAGGAGGGCGTGGGCCAACCCGGGGGAAAGAAACGCCACCGGGCAGAGCCAGCGGAACCAGAGAGGACGCGGAGGCATAACCGTCCGCAGTTCCGTCTCCCGGAGGCTCCGCAAAAACGCACCCCCCACCGCCGTCCCCCGCCCCCAGGACCCGCAGGAGAGCGGCCCGCCTGCTTCGCCGCCGACCTTCCCTCCTCCCTCGGAGGCCTGCTGTGGCGCCTCTCCTCGCGGAGCTCCACACGAGCCTACACGCTGTCGCCGGGCGGTTCTCCGGAAAACCACGGGCGAGGACCCGAAGGAAGCGGAGTTGTCCGCAGGAGCAACCGGGGTAGACAGCGCCCCTCACCGCGAGATCTCAAAGATCCCGCTTCCGCGCAGCCAATGGCGGAAGAGCCCGCGCGCGTGCGCACTACCACCGTGGCGGCGCCTGGCCCAGCCCGGCTCTGATTGGCCGACCTTCCGGCACGTGGCCCTTTGCATTTCTCTGGAAGTGCTTCCAGGTTTCCTACAGGTTGGTGGTTCAATTCAGAAAGGGATTTATGCCCTGGCTGGTTTTGGCTCAATGGGTAGAGCGTCGGCCTGCGGAGCGAAGGGTCCTGGGTTCCATTAGGGTCAGAAAGGACTGGCAGGAATTACTCAGTGATGAAAAGACAAGGAGCTACAACCCAGATTACTCCATCCAGCAAGTTTAACATTCAGAATCTAAGGACAGATAAGAGCTTCCCAGACAAGAAGGGGCTAAAGAAGCTCACCACCACCAAACCATTATTACAAAAAACATTAAAGGGTCTTTTTTTAAGGAGAAAAAGATAAAAAACATGAATAGCCCTGGCTGGTGTGGCTCAGTTGGTTGGAGCATTGTCCCATATACAGAAAGGTAAGGGTCAGGGCACATACGGAAGGCAAGCAATGGATGCCTATCCCCACCCCCCACCCCCCATCCCCACCCCTTTAAATCATTAAGCATATCCTCCAGTGAGGATCTTTTTAAAAACATGAATAAAAATGTCTATAAATACATATTTATCAACAATTACTTTAAATGCAAATGGTTAAGTTTTCCAATGAAAAGACATACTATGTCTGAAGGGATAACAAAGCAAGACCATTACATATGCTTTGTACAAGAGACCCACTTGAAATAAAAGACACAGACTGGAAGTAAAGAGATGGGAAAAGATATTTTATGAAAATGGAAATCTAATTTAAAAAGCAGGGATAGCAATACTTATACCAGACAAAATAGACTTTAAAACAAAAGCTATAACAGGAGACAAAGAAGGACCCAGCGATTCTGCTTCTGGGTATTTATTTTTTTAAAAAATACACACACAAAATGATAAACCAAAACACTATTCATTGCAGCATTGTTTACAATAGACAAGATATGGAAGCAACCTAAGTGTCCATCAGTAGATGAATAAAGAAGTGATGCACACAAATGGAATATGACAACCATAAGAAAAAATAAAATATTGCCATCTACAACAGCATAGATATATCTAGTGTGTGTTGTGCTGAGTGGAGTCAGAGGACAAATGCCATGATTTCACTTATATGCGGAATATGAAAAAGAGTATCTGAACAAGCAGAACTGAGACTCAGATACAGAAAACATTTTGATGGTTGCCAGATGGGAGGAGGGTTGGAGGGATGAGTGAAAGAAGTGAAGGGATTAAGAAGTACAAATTGGTGGTTACAGAATAGCCATGGGGATGTCAATAATATTGTAGTAACTATGTATGGTGTCAGATGGGTACAAGATTTATCGGGGTGATCCCTTCTTGGGTTATATAAATGTCTAATCAGTGGGTTATACACCAAAGACTGATATAATATTGCACAGCAACTGTAATTGAAGAACAAGTTACTTTTAAAAAAAATTAGAAGCTAGCCAACATGGTTTTAAAACCTGTTATCACTTTTGAATCAAGTTCCTTAGGTTTCTACATCTGTAAAATTAGGATAATACCTCCTTTGCTGGACTGTTATAAAGACTGAGTAATAATGAGTGAAAGGGATAGTCAACATGCTGAATTCCTTAGCTTCCCATTTATCTAAGATTATTAGGTAATCAGGACATTTTTAATGATGCACATAAATGGAATATGACCATAAGAAAAATAAAATCTTGCCATCTACAACAGCATGGATATACCTAGTGTCTGTCATAAACTTTATTTCTGTATGTAAAGTCCAGATTTTATTAGATATTTGGATTCCCAAAATAACTATTAGGACACACCTCATTTTAGGCTTTAGATAACTGTAATAAAATAGCAAATGTAGGTATAATTTGCTTCTACAGTACTAATTTATTACTTTGGCTGGCATGAATTCCTGAGTGTTAAACTAACAAATAGCATATACAACACTCTGATATTTCTCAAAGATTATATTCAACTTAAAGCTAAAAAACAAATCAAGAAATGTACCTATAGTGCTTGCTTCGGCGGCACATATACTAAAACTGGAACAATACAAAGATTAGCATGGCCCCTACACAAGGATGACACAAATTTATGAAGCATTCCATTAAAAAAAATGTACATATAGCCATATTTTAATAACAAGTGTAATTACTTAAGAAACAATTCTTACAGGTATTTGGTCAGGTATTAGGGACAAACTTTGAATTCTATCCAATGTGAATAATGTTATCGTTAGAGATGAGCTTATTAGGTTTGAGAATTGAAAGGGGTTTAGTTATCCTGGGTTTTTTGAGGCCATTAGGGATATAAGATTTCCTTTACTTTTCACTTAAACGTCACAGTCTTTAGAGCTGAGCTTTTATTAAAGGCGTTCTAACAAACATTGTATTCACTCACAAATAGTTCAGCAAAACATGATAAAGGAATGAAGTGAGACTCATACACACTTTGTTGTTTAAGTCTTTATTTTTATTTATTTTTTATTGATTTGAAAGAGAGGGAGAGAAGAAACATTGATGAGAAACATCCATCGGCTGCAGCTGCCTCCTGCACCTCCTGCACACCCTCCATCCCCTCACTGCCCACCCCCCCCCCCCCCGGGATCACGCTTGCAACTTGGGGGTGTGCCCCTACCAGGAATTGAACGGGTGACCTCTTGATTCATGGTCCACACTCAACCACTGAGCCACACCGCCCGGGCGAGAAGTCTCTATTTTATGTCAGTTATATAGGCTCAGTGTTATCTCTTGGGAAAAATATGGCTATTTTCTGTTATAAACTTTATTTCTGTATATAAAGTCCAGATTTTATTAGATATTTTGGACTCCCAAAATAACTATTAGGACACACCTCATTTTAGGCTTTAGATAACTGTAATAAAATAGCAAATGTAGGTATAAGTATAAAGCTGAAACACAAAGTACATACACATTTCTAATGTACGGAAGAACGTTGTGTTTCTTTTGTTACAAAAAGGTTCCCCAAACTATGTATCAGGGCACCCTAGTAAATTAGCAGAAGGGTCAGTGTTTGTTTCAAATTTTTGAGGGGAACACATCTATTGGACATAACACCAACTACTAGGGTGAGGTAGTTTATATTTTCAATATTAGGTGCCAACTACTAGGGTGAGGTAGTTTCTATTTTCAATATTAGGTGGCTTTATATTTCTTCCCATGACAGTGTATCTTTTAAAAACTGGGTTTTCAGCAGTTGTGATCAAAAGTACTGTGCAAAAAGCATAGTGGAACAGGAAATGATAGTAGCAGTGTCAATCCACGCTGATTCCAAGGGGTGAGAAGCTGTACAGTGTCCACAGTTACTAATGTTTATGATATAAATTCTTATTAAGTTGTTTGGACCTGACTGCTTAATAAATGGAAGTATTATGCATTTCTTTAGTCCTAGATGTGCCAAAAAAAAAAAAAAATTACTGAAACGCTAAAGGGCACCATGAGCTGAGAAAATATTGGGAACATCTGTGTTCTAGGCAAGGTACACACTAAGGCAAAAGTAATTTCATCATTCATTTTTCTACCTAAGAAATTTTCTAGTCTTGTATAAGAAAGAGAAAAAATATATAAAACATACATACAAAGTTTGGATTTTTATTGAAATCTTGTGTTATGTATCAAACAAAATCTGCTTTCTTCAGATAAAAATATTTCTTCAGAGTTTCCAGATAACTGCTAAAAGGTTAAGTTGGTCCTTCAATGTCTTATTTTATTGTTTTTTGTTGTTGTCATGAAATGTTCATATACACTTAGGATGTTCCCAAAATAACTTTTATCGTGTAAAGGACCGTACATGACGACCTCTACCACTGCCTCCACTGACAAACTTTCCTCTTGAGCCTCCACTGCCGCTATTTGCACTTGCCCAGGAAGGTCCAAGTCCCCCACGGCCTCTTGAAGCCCGGTCACGAGGACTTGGGCGGTAGCCTATAAAGGAAAGAACACAGTGTTAGTTGCAACACCCTTTCCTTTCCCATTATATGAAGACTCATCTGTAACACTGAGCTCAAACCAAAACAGAAATTATTCTTTGCTCCTTTAAAATCCACGTACAAGTTCTATGAATGTGTTGAACACCAGTGTGAATTGTCCTTTTTAAATAGGTAAATTGTTTCATATATGAGAACATCTCAAATAAAGCTGTTAAGGGTTATATGCTTATACACACAATGGAATACAGTAACTAAAAATAGAAGACACCTTATGAAGATATGTCTGTTCTTAAAATACTTTGGTCAAAAATGTACCTAAGGGTTGGCTTTCATCATTAAAATATAAAAACAGCGCACATCACCTTGAAACTGCTCAGACTATACACAAAGTTCAGAATCCGCAATTTTGATTATTTCTATAGAAAATGTACACTGGGCACTCATTCAGATATAAAATTAAATTGACTTTAGAATTACACGTTTACATTCTAAAATATTTTCTCCCAGAATCAGAGTACATGACATTTAACGATTTGAAAATGAGGATTCACTTCCCTCTCTCAGCAATATCCAGTAGGAAGAATGTTTACCTGTAGAACTAAGTGGTCGTAAAGGTGGAAGAGGGCCCCTATTAAAATTGCTCTGGCCTCCGCGACTTTCATTGTAAGTTCCTCGAGGAGTGTTCTGAGCGCTCCAACTGGAGCCTCTTGTTCCCTCCCGACGACTGTAGTTTCCTAAAGGCAACACAATCAAAATCTTTTTTCACAACTTCAGTTGGATTAAGAAAGACCTGACAGGTTTTCCTTAACCTTCCAAAGGAATGGAAGATAATCTGAAATTTTTGTAAATGAAATATACTGTAGAATGGCAGCACCATACGTGGTTAGGAGCAGAAGCTCTGGAGCCAGACTGCCAAGTTCACATACTGGTTTCACCACTTACACTTATGTGTCCTGATAGTTTTCTCTTCTGTAAAGTCGTTGTATTAACAAAACCTACCTCATGGGGTTGATGTGAAAGTATTATATGTCAAGTGCTTATAACCATCCCTAACACAGCTCTGTGTTTGCTATTAATGTAAACTTCTATTCTCTTTCACTCCTACCCTCCACAGCAGCAAAAAAACATGTCCTCAATCTACTGGTGAAGCATAATATCTATGAATAAACTCAGTTTCTGAAATCTTGAAACAATTTACAACATTAAATATTACATTAGGAATCAAGAACACAAGAGAATCAATGGTGAATATACAGAAAAATATTCGGGAAATTGTTGATAAGTACAGCTACAAAAATAATGTATAAATATTATTCAGAAAAGATAAACATAATTCTTAATGTAAAAACGAAAATAATTAGCCCAGACTTAATTAAACTTATCACTAAATGTGCTTAAATTAAGCAAAGGTTAATTTTAAAAAGATTTTTTCCCTATCCAATAAAATGCTCTGCAAATAGTACCACTGTAAGTAGTCAAGAGGCAGCTTAATTTTAGTAACAGAAAAATACTTTATCTGAATCACTACCATCTCAATAATTTCTATTTAATATTCTAATATTCCACTATTTTAACCCAGCAATTTTCAACCTTTTTCATCTCATGACACACACAAACTAATTACTAAAATTCTGCAAAAAATAGGTATAGCCCTAACCGGTTTGGCTCAGTGGATAGAGCATCGGCCTGCGGACTGAAGGGTCCCAGGTTGGATTCCGGTCAAGGGCATGTACCTTGGTTGCGGGCACATCCCCAGTAGGGGGTGTGCAGGAGGCAGCTGATCGATGTTTCTCTCTCATCGATGTTTCTAATTCTCTATCCCTCTCCCTTCCTCTCTGTAAAAAATCAATAAAATATATTTTTTTTAAAAAATAGGTATAATTTTGATTTATTCACACTTGACGACTATTGTGTTGGCTGTTGTCATTTTTTTTATTTGACAATCTAAGGGAAGAGGTCAGTGCCCCCAACTAAATAGTCAGGTAGTGCATGTTTTCAAAACTCTTGCAGCACAGTGGTTGAAAATCACTGTTCCAACCCATTAGAAAATATATATAACCTTGGCTGGTGGTGATCAGTGGTTACAGTGATGGCCTGTGACTTGAAGGGTCACAGGTTTGATTTCCAGTCAAGGGCAAGTACCTAGGTTGCAGGTTCGATCCTCAGTCTGTCGGGGCACATGCAGAAAGCAACCAACCAATGTGTGACTCTCACATCAATGTTTCTCTCTCTCTCTCTCCCCCCCCCCCCCTTCCACTCTCTCTAAAACTCTATGGAAAAAATATCCTCAGGTGAGGTTAACAAAACAAAAAAAGAGAAAGAAAGCATATATAAGTAGTTACCTTTTGAGGCAGGCGGTGTGAAAAACCTATTTTGACTGTGAAAAGCTCCCCGTCCTCCTCGATTGCCTGAAAATCCACCACGAGAAGAAATCTTCTGTGATACTTTGAGTGGCCGTTTTGGTGGGGGTATTCCATCTTGCGGGACCACTTCTTTACTTTCAGCTGCAACAAAGTCATCCACGTGCATAGATGGTGGTCTGCTTGTGTTCTGTTTTCTCTGACGAAAAATATCATGGGGTCGTATGCCCTGTCCAAATCCTCCCCTGCCCCTTCCTCTTGGTGGTGGCACAACATGAGCTCGTTTGGCAGGTTCAATGTACTCGGATTTTCCACTATTAAAACAAAAATAGACCATGAAAACATTTAAAAAAAATATTTACTACCAATGAAAATATAAATTAATCTTTGCAATATGAAAACTATTCAATTATTTCTTATTCCAATTGTGGTTACTTTGCAAATATTTCCATTACAGGCAAATCTTGCTTTAATGTGCCTTATTTACTGAACTTCATAGATATTGCATTTTTTACAAATTGAAGGCAAAATCCTACATCAGTAAAAAGAATGACTCACCAAAGGCTCAGATGATAGTATCGTTTAGCAGTCAAGTATTTTTTAATTAAGATATGTACATTGGCCGAAACCGGTTTGGCTCAGTGGATAGAGCATCGGCCTGCGGACTGAAAGGTCCCAGGTTCGATTCCGGTCAAGGGCATGTACCTGGGTTGCGGGCACATCCCCAGTAGGAGATGTGCAGGAGGCAGCTGATCGATGTTTCTCTCTCATCGATGTTTCTAACTCTCTATCTCTCTCCCTTCCTCTCTGTAAAATATCAATAAAATACATTTAAAAAAAAAAAAAAGATATGTACATTGGATTTTAGACACAATGATATTGTACACTTAATAGACTATTATATAGGGTAAACATAACGTTTACATGCACCAAGAAACAAAAAATTTCATATAACTCACTTTATTATGATATTTACTTTATTGTAGTAGTCTGGAACCAACCCTGTATATCTCCCAAGACATACCTGTACTTTCCATGGAATACAATAAAACTAGCTAAGAATAGCACTCACGTTTTATTGGTATGACTAATAATTATTTTAAATAAGCCAATTCACTCTTGTTCAAACCTTCCAAACTCTCATAAAGTATAATAATAAACAAATGTACTGGGTATGTATTGGCCAAATTATTATCTTTAAAAAAATTTCCCCCCCCAAAAAAATTATTTTCCAAACAATTCATGATTCAAGCATTATGGCAACTTCCTTTATCCTTTAAAAAAAAATAGTTTATTGCCCTAACCGGTTTAGCTCAGTGGATAGAGCGTCGGCCTGCGGACTCAAGGGTCCCAGGTTCGATTCCGGTCAAGGGCATGTACCTTGGTTGCGGGCACATCCCCAGTAGTGGGTGTGCAGGAGGCAGCTGATCGATGTTTCTCTCTCATCGATGTTTCTAACTCTCTATCCCTCTCCCTTCCTCTCTGTAAAAAATCAATAAAATATATTTAAAAAAATAAAAAAATAGTTTATTGATTTTTAGAGAAAGAGGAAGGGAGAAACATCAATGTGAGAGTGCAACACTGACTGGCTGCCTCCTGCACACCCCCTACTGGGGATCAAGCCCGCAACCCGGGCATGTGTCCTTGACTAGGAATTGAACCGGGACCTCCTGGTGCACAAACAATCCCCAACCAACCGAGCCACACCAGCCAAGGCTTCCTTTCTCCTTTAACAGCCATGTGTCTAGCTTAAAATACATTAAAATAAATAAACGTATGTGACCACAATCAAAACCTTCAGTAGAATAAATGTTACCTTGAAGTTATAAAGGTCTCATGCTTGTGCTTCCCAAGTTTGAATCCTTTGGTGGTCTTGGTTCTCCCTGGAGATGATGGTTCTGACAAAAATGAGCGCTCTAATTCTGAGTGCAAGTCAAAGTCACTACAGCATTTTTCAGAGAGTTCAATTAAGTCCACTTTTACCTGCAGTCATAAAAATTAAATAAAATGAAATATACACCTTAAATGTAACTATTAAGGTAACACTTGACTATGGAAATTCTTACTTCCTATAAATTATATGACTAATTATAGGCCTGCCTCTTTCCCTCATCTTTTCAAAAAGCAACATCACTGGTAGTTAAAAAAAAAAAAAAAATCTTAGGAATTCAATTGTGGGTTTTTCTTGGTGGGGGGGTGAGTTTGGCATTCCTCCTCACACAAGTGTTATTAATCTGAGACCTATGCTGCCTGACAAAAAACTCAGGATTTCTCTATATAAATTAACAATGTAGTATCCCCAGAACTTTTCCAAAAGAATATGAAAATAACATATTCTCCAAGCCTTATATATAGTCAACCTATCTGCTATAAAAGGATTTTGTGCAACAGATCTCAAAGTTCTATGCATTTAGTGAGGTTCCAACCTAAGTTTACTTTCAGAGAAATGAAAATTACGTTTACTTAGGTTTTATTCAAATTTATCAAACCTAAAAGACTTAAAATTTCCCTACACCATGTAAGGTCACAGTCATCACTGCAACACAGTTGTGATTCAAAGTGAAGTTTAGAAAAAGAACAATTTGTAACACAAATGTTTTATGTGATGCCAATAGGCACTAACCACATATACCTATTTAATTTTAAATTAATTAAAATTAAAATAAAATACAGTTCGTTAATCACATTAGCAACATTTCATTGCTCACCAGTCACATAAGGCTGGTGGCTACTTTACTGGGCAGGACATGGAACATTTCTGCCACTACATAAAGTTCTATTGGACAGCACAGTTCTTCTAAAGAATCAATGACCAATTTCCAATGAAAAAAAAATTTTTTTTTATAAATATGTTTTTATTGATTTCAGAGAGGAAGGAAGAGGGAGAGATAGAAGCATCAATGATGAGAATCATTGATTGGCTGCCTATTGCATGAGCCCACAACCCGGGCATATGCCCCAACATGGAATTAGACAGTAACCTCCTGGTTCATGGGTCAACACTCAACCACTGACCCACATCGCCGGGCAAGAAATTAATTGTTTAATGAGACTTAAACTGATTTGTATGTGACCTTTTAAATAAGGAAAAAGAATCCTCAATACATTAAATACACTTTAAATGTGAATCATTTAAAAAATTTTATTGTACATGATGAGTATTAGCATTTTTTAGAACAGAAAATATCAAATATATATATTTATTTGATCAAGAAAAAAAATAATATACTAGAGGCCTGGTACACGAAATTCGTGCACGGTTGGGGGAGGAGGGGAGGTCCCTCAGCCCAGCCTGCACCCTCTCACAATCCAGGACCGCTGGCTCCTAACCACTAGCCTGCCTGCCTGCCTGATTGGCCCTAACCCCTCTGCCTGCCAGCCTGATTGCCCCAAATTGGTCCCCAGACAGCCTGATCGCCCCTAACTGCCTCTGCCTCGGCCCCCACACTCGGGACCTGGGATTCCTTCCCTCTGGCCGACCGCAGCACCCGGGATCCCCAGCGGCTTGGCCTGGGCCAGCCGCAGACACCCAGGACCCCAGGACCCCCGACGGCTCAGCCTGAGCCGCCCACAGGCACCTGGGACCACAGGCAGCTTCACCCAGGACTGCCAGCAGCTTCGCCCGGGGCCCGGCTCTGTCAGGAAGGACGTCCAGAAGACGTCCGGTCTAATTAGCATATTACCCTTTTATTAGTATAGATGGTACCATAAGATGTAGCTGAAATCATCCTCCCTGATATATCTCTGAGAAGCACAAACAGACTACACTGAATTTTCAGTCTTAGTGTACCTATACTATTTCCTATTCAGCATTATATTTAAGGACGTCAATTTGCATTAGTACTACATTATTCTAATAATGTAGTTAGAATACATTCTTATATTTCCTCAAATTAAGAGCAGATAACACAACACCATTCCTCTCCTTAAACACAAACACAGGAATGATTATTAATTTGGGGGGATAATTTTCTTATATTTCTAAAAATATAAGAAAAGAAATTACTTAAGAGTACTTATGCAAAAATGTGATTTTCCCCTAAAATGTCTCATTCTTGCCCTAGCCGGTGTGGCTCAGTGAATACTAGTAGAGTGTCGGCCTGGGGACTGAAGGGTCCCTGGTTCCATTCAGGTCAAGGGCACAAGTCTGGGTTGCAGGCTCGATCCCCAGTAGAGGGCGTGCAAGGGGCAACCAATCAATGATTCTCTCTCATCATTGATATTTCTCTCCTCTCTCCCTCTCCGTTCCTCTCTGAAATCAAGAAGAATATATTTTAAAAAAATAAAAATAAAATGTCTCATTCCCATATATACAGATCACTAACCAGAAAGAAGTGAAACAAGTAGCATAAAATCTGAGTTTTGGACACTATTAAGTGGGTGACTGACATAAAAAGTATGCAGTACTGGTCCCCAAATGAACTTGTAACAGCTATAGTAGAGCTAACAACACACAAAGAAACAACAACTTTTTTTTCTAAATATTTAGTAATAAAATTATACCAAATCCAGGTCCCCATCAATATCTTCAGCCTGAAATGGAGTAAACCACATAGATTTCAATTGATCATCCATGACATCAGCTAGTACATACGCAGTCCTAGAACAAAAAAAGAATTTAGAAAAAAGAAGAAATCCAAAATAAAAATTTTAACATCTTCCAATTAGAATAAAATCTGTGGAAAGTACACTTTAAAATGTCACCCTATAAAAGTATTGGAAATTAGCACTTAAAAAATTAATTTAAAAAGTTATTTAAGAATTAAGTATCCTTAAAAATCAGTAACTTGGAAACTAATCTTGTAGTGACAAATTTTGACCTTTCAGTAAAATAAAACAGCACTGGATTTACTTACAAAAAGTCAAGTTTATTAAAATGTACCAATGTGTACGAAAAATGTCCATACTTAATTTTTCTAAATTCAGAGAATAATTCCATTACAATGAATAGTCATTATGCTCTGAAAGTACAGTGCTCCAAAGACCAAGAGGCACTGCATATCAGGGATAAGTAAACTATGATCCCCATTCTACTGGCCTGTTTTGGTACAGCCTACAAGTTAGAAATGGTTTGTACGTAAAGAACAATATGTAACAGAGGCTTAATGTGGCCTGCAAAGCCTAGAATTTTACTATCTGCCCCGTTACAGAAAAATAGCAAGCTGGCCAGTTATAGACCTCCAGCCATTAATACACTATATCTACTCAACCACAAAATATTGCTTGTTTTACCTATTGTTAAACAGATTCTGGAGAGATTCTGGAGCTGAAAGTACTGGTTCTACGTCTTGGTCACCGAGAGGTAAAGGATCACCTGATGACTCAAGCATCTGCTTAAGTCCAACTACATTGTCCAACAACGAATCCAGATTGTCATCATCTTTTGAATGTTCCTAAATACAAACAAAAACAAAATAAGAAGATGCAGGTATACTAGAACATTTATGCCCCAAATCTATTAACTTTTTAGTAGAAAAGTTTATATTATTTCATTACTTAAAAAATTTGGAGTACCATCAGGGAATTATCAACTTAACATTAAACATATTAAAATAAAACAAACACCAAAAACACTTATTATTTTATTTCTAAAGAATGGTAGCAGGGGCACCTGAACTCAAACAATAAACAATTCAAAAAGTACTGCCTTCATATACTCAAGATTCTTCACAATATGAAGGACTTCACTCCAAATTATTAATTCAGAGTTATTTCAAATGCTATAATTCCCAACTGAGGATTCACTGTTTTTTGTTGTTATTAATCCTCACCCAAGGATATTTTTTCCATTGATCTTTAGAATGAGGAGAAAGGAGGGAGAGAAACATCGATGTGAGACACATCGATTGATTGCTTCCTGCATGCATCCCAACCAGGGGATCAAGCCTGCAACCGAGGTACATGCCCTTGACCAGAATTGAACCTGCGACCCTTCTGTCCATCGGCTGACATTCTAACCAGAAGCAAAACTGGCTAGGGCAGGATTCACTATTTTTAAAAAGTCACTAGAAAAACTTGTGCTAGTCAAATGGAAAAGAATGCACTGTTTTTATTTTATTTCTGTTTTTATCTTTATTTTTTACCAAAACAAGTTTCTCTAGTTCAAGGAACAAATTTTCTGGACTTTCTTCTTTGCTTTGAAGAAGCTGTTTTAACTCTGCAGCATTAATACTCATCGTCCGTGATGGATGAGCTCCCTCTACTTCCATGAGACCACTATCATCTCCACAACATCCCTGTAAATGTCACACACAAATCAAATTTGAGAACGAAATTTGCAAAGGTGCTTCCAAACTTACTCAGATATTTAAGTCATTTTTCTGCAATCTTCTCCTTAATGTTTTGGTTTTATATCAATACAAATGGCTAGTTTCAAGAAGGATTTAGTCACTTCAAAATTGAAGTACATTTTCTTTGAGTAAGATTCACACAATAAATAGGTAAACACATGCACTCAATATACTGGCACCAAAATTTCTCAACAAAAATATCCAATGGAAAATACACTGGTACATGCAGAACACATAATATACGGAATATGGGGGAAAACAACATGGTCATCTCAGTAGAGACAGAAAAGCATTTAACAAAATCCAACACCTTTCATGATAAAAACACTCAATAAGAACTACAAAAGGAAGGAAATATCTTCAGCCTCATAAAGGGCATGTATGAGTAACTATAGCTAACATTGTATTTAATGGTCAGAGATTGAATGCCTTCTCCTTAAGATTAAGAACAAGATGAAAACATCAATTCTTGTCACTTGTATTCAACGTATACTAGAGGTTCTTGTAAGAACAAGGCAAGGAAAAAATCTAAAAGGTATCTAGATTGGAAAAAAAAGAAGATAGACTACCTCTATATATGACATGATCTTGTATATATAAAATCCTAAGGGAACTAAAAAAAACTAATAAAAAACTTCAACAAGGTGTCGGACACAACATCAATGTATAAAATTTAATTGTATTTCTAAACATAAAGAACAATTCAGAGATGAAATTAGGAAACAATTCCATTTATAATAGCTTTAAAAATTCCCAATTTAGAGGCATAAGACTTATATTTTGAAAACAATACAACGTAGTAGAAAGAAATTTAAAACAACTCAAATAAATGTCCAGCCATCCCATTTTCCTGGACATGATGATTTAATGGTAATGCTCCCAAAACTGATCTACAAATTCAATACAATGCCCTTAGTGGCTGCCAGAGGGTAGGGGCAAAAGAGAATGGGGAATTTCTGTTAATGGGTACAAAGGTTCTTTGGTGGGTTATGAAATCATTCTAAAATTAGGTAGTGATGATGGTTTCTATGAATAAACTAAAAACTACTGAATCGTCATTTTAAAAGGGTGAATTTTATGGGGTGTGAAATTCATCTCAATAAAAATGTTACAAAAAAGGAGGAGCAAGAAGGAAAATGTTAAGGTAGAAGTGGTGAATCAAAAGAAGAAATCCTATATAATAAAAGCGTAATATGCAAATCGACCCAACGGTGGAACGACCAGTCGTTCTGATGTGCACTGAC